GTTCAAACTCTCAATATACTGCGTTCGGCTCCAGAAGCCACATTACGAACTATGTGATGAAGCAATCGACGTCAAACCCTTTGTCAAATAAAAAAAACAGGTTGGACTGCTTCGGTGTGTCTGTTCCTATGATAAAATTCCAGACACGCTCTCCCGATTCCAATTATTCCAAAGATGCTGATCTTTCAATAACTTCCACACCACAACGTAGCAAGCGTTCTGAATGGTGCAGAAAATACCAGTGAGAGGTACCATAGGAAAGAATATAAGTACAAATAAAGATAATCGCACCCTAATGGTACTTTTTCTAGTTGGTATCGACTGTAGATAAAACCTAATTATCACAGTAGAAAAAAGTAATCTTAACAGTCAAGGAACAATATCATACCCAAAGAAAGGGGGTAATCGATTCATTTTGCTTCAAATACGAGCAGTTGTGGGGTTAGTGTAGCATCATATGCTATTGTCAAACCCACATCGTTTATTCTACCTTAAGGACAAGTCAATCTATTAATTCTTCTTAAATCACATTTTGATCTTGTCACTTATTGGCTTATTTATTCTGACTGTTCTTACATGAGCTTATGTGTATGCATTGATTATCCTAATCATCACATGTCTGTGGCTTATTTCTATCTGGCTATAAATATTGATTAACGCTTGATTAGATCGAGTTGGCTCACTTGCATTCTTCAATCTGCTTTGCTCTTCCCTCTTTGTTTCGTCTCCCTGATTCCATGTTCAAGTCACTGAGTGTATGAAATATACATATTCAAAATCCATTCTCGTATTTGGCTTATTTAATTCCGTTATTCACTAACGCGAGTTAAGTCGATAATTATATACGAGGATAGACGATATGTACATTTCAATAACAATCCAACTGAAGTCAGATTAAGGGCCACAACACACTTATCTAGAAAGCGATGATTAAATGAAAAATACAATTACCGGTGAAAAATAGCAACCATACCCAAAACAAACATGAGACTTGCTTGAAAATCGACCGTATGAAATAGGGTAATCAGTTTGTAAAATATCAACTAAAGTATGGTAGTTCAATATGGCGAGCGTCATAAAAACAGTGTAAAGCAAAACAAATATAAAACGGTTATTACAAGACTCAACAATATCAAGCAAACAGTTAGGATTTAGAAATTATAAACAATGTAGTAGTAATAACTACATTTATTCTTAGGATTGGGAATGCGTATACAAAATACGGACAACAATAAGACACACAGTACATAGTACAAAAATGCAAAGGGCTAGTCTTAATTAGAAACAGACACAGGGCTTTTCTTCATATTTGTATATGAGCATACAAAAACGAATCCTGGAGCGGTATTCAACAGGAACTCATTTATTCATTAAAAAGACTAATAAGGCTAATCAGTTGAGTATTTGGTAATGCACTACCAAATCTGCATGTTATTTCAGGTCTAGGTGTAACAGTGAGTTTAAAAGGTGTGATGTATTGATCAGAATGGTTTTATTCCATTGTTATTTTGATCTTATTGAACTCACTCAGTCCTCATACTTATAACGTGGTTGAATAAAACATTGGAGCGATGTTATTAGGAGTGTGAATTTTACTCATCGTTTTGCTATTTATATTACTCTATAATATTCAGTCAGTCGATTTTATAAGCGTTATTTTGAATCGGTTACCATCTCAGTGTTGCTGTTAGAGAATAAAGCTTTCTGACCAGTTAATTTATTTTGTCTCAATGGCTTGCTTATATGGTGTCCCATATCTCATGTTTGCCAGTCGTCTTATTATCAAGTTCAGAGTTAACAATTAAACCCCAGCAGATAGCTGATTACTCGGTGTTCAGCCAGACAGAACAGCCGAGGCAAGCAAGAATAAAGATAAATACAGTTGCTGATTTATCATCCCTACTTATGCAAATAATGAGTGTCACCCGAGCAAAACAAAAGTCGGGTTCTACGGACGATTTACCGTTTCTTCTAAAAAAACTGGCAGACCATGTTAGAATGAAAAAAAACTAGGGACAAACCTACAATGTTTCAGTTAAGATAAAACGTTACTGTAAAGACTTGTTCCAAGTACTTAAAATAACCGTTTACTTCACAATTCAAGGTAAAGATATACGGGAAGGTATGTTTGTATGGACATTTGATTCCGATTCCGAATGAAGTATATTTTGATAATCAGTCTAAAAACAAATAGAAAAATATACATTCGCCAGATAAATGTTCAAAGATTTAATACATCTGAGTGTGACCTGTATTTGTATCAGAAATACAAACTCTACTTAACAACGCGTCGTATTTTCTAATCTGTTGAAAGCATATCTGATTTAAAGATATTTGAGCTTGTTTGAAATGCTAATCATATAATTAAAAAATGAAGTAAATCTCCAAAGTCACTGATTTCATTTTTATAGCTAAAGAAGATAAATGATTATACTGACTTAACCTATAAGACCATTATCAGTATAGGGGTTGAGATTATTAACTTTTTGATTGAGATCATGAACTGATTGATGTTAGGCCACCGTTGGAAACCTGGAAGCACTGGAAGGCCGTTTCGTCCTATTGTAGGACTCCTCAGTAGTGCACATCCACAATCCCGCCTCTCAAGATTCGAACCCAGGGCCTTCAGTACGCATGTACTCACTAGTGACTAGCTTCGCGAGGGAATTCTCGGAGTTCTAGTGAGAAGCGGTGACCAGTGGAGCTAACCCGTGTCGGATAGAGACAGGTATCTATCTCAGTGCAATGGAAGATGGTCGCGCAATCACGTGGATTGGTTGATGTCGGACACACACCATTGGATACCGGCTGAGTGGTCCAGTAGGTTAAGCGTTAGCACGAGAGACTGGAAGCCCTGGGTTCGAATCCAGGAGGCGGGATCGTGGATGCGCACTTCTGGGGAGTCCTGAAATAGGACGAAATGGCTGTCCAGTGCTTCCAGGTTTCAAACAATGGTCTAACAGCAAGCAGTTCACGATCTCAATCAAGAACTATAAGACTATTGTTAGCTTATATTGTGCATACTTATTTTCCAAATATATTATAATTTGTAAGGTTATAGTTTATCAACTTCACATGATGTTAAGACTGGGTAGTTACCACATGATTTATCCGCCAATCGAAATACGACTTATTCAATCTTAGTACTGTGCCAAATCAATGACGTTCGACCAGTGTGAGCAGCCTAGCGGTCTTATTGGTCCTTTGATCGCCTAGCCCATCCAGTTGAGTCCAGAACGCCTATACTAGCTTCCACCATACAAATCATTTATTTCAAAAATACCTTGTTTATACATAAACCAAACGGACCATATTGCATCATAAAATTGGAAATGACATTTGTACAAGTTCAAGCCAAAAGTGGTTGTGATCGTTGGAGATCGTCATTAATAAACTGAGTATAATTTAAGAACTGTAAATCATATAATAATAATCTATAGGTCAAAATGAAGCTTATAATAAGATGAATTTAGATATACCTAATCTATTTACTGAATAGTTATACCGTAAGAATATATAGATAAAATTAGTCTAATTATTAGTTCTCAGAAGTTACCCGTAATTTAATTTTCACTAAGATATAACACATGGGTTGGGAGTTTACATAATTTCGATCGACTTCGAGAAACAAATTCTTGGCTTTCGATATTCTTTATGTTGTCACACCCTTGAACAGGTAAATACCTCAATAATATGTGGTTCAATCTAACATTAGATTTTATAGTAACTGCTATGTTTGAAGAGATTACGAGTTCACTTAATCTGAGAACGGAACGAAGGCTGTGACACAATGACCAATAAGCTAACTATTCCAACACTTCCCAGTCCCGCTAACTAGACAGAGAAGTCCAAGTTCAGAAGAGGGGATTATATTCCATAAGCAGTCAGAAGCACGAACAACAATAAACACAACGCAAGTGTATATATTCAGCATAAAAATGTCATTGTGAAACGGTACAAAATAGCATACCAAAAGAGGTAACGAAACAATAGCAATTAAGTTCCTCCCTAGTAGGAAATACGACTTGATGGTGTAAATCGGTGTTTTTGGTGCGAAAATAGGGAATTCAAAATCTTAAAGTAGAATTACCAGGTGAGTTCTGGGGATCTAACATCCCCATCATTAACTACCAATATATATATACTGTTACGTAGTTGCTGAGAGTAGAAATTTAACTTACGTTGTATATATTATTGTTTTAAAAGATTATAAACAATGTATCAGTGCTACTTATTGACTAATTGATCATTTATTTTGATAATCGTTAATAACTAAAGTGTTTTTGATGGGGTTTTGTTCTCTGAAACTCCGCCTGGAGTCCCTCCGGGGGCTACTGTCCGTCCCAAGCCCCGATAAAGGAGGAGGGTTGAGCATGGGGTTAGCGACCCCATCCCGTAGAAAACTAACTCGCTAGAGAGACGCTAACCAGAAAAAATTATTCAAACCTTTTGTTCTCTAAGCTGAATGGTTTAGTCGTGGAGCTCTCATCGTTCTTCTAAATGTTTCTAATTAAAATCGATAGTTTTATTACGTAACACAACAACAAGGAAAAAGATAACAGATACAAATCACATTGGTCATCTTAAATGCATATCAGTAATAACACCTCCATAAATGAATTAAATTAATAATCAATCAGAATCAAATCAGTATTTCAGTTGACTAAGTGTCACGGTTCCAAAAATTATTATCCAATCAGAGATTAACATTTTTTTTAATTACTTAACCAATAGGATTTCTCAATCTGATCCTTAAAAAAAAACAACAGAACAATTGAGTCAACTTAATTAACCCTAAACGTACAGGACTTTCGTTTGTTGTCGATTTTTTGCTGGTACAACTCACTTCAAAATGGTATATTTTCATTTGAACCCACTAATTAATATATGTTTTCTAGAGGGAATGTATTAGCGTACATGTTGGTCAAGCTGGAGTTCAGATGGGCAATGCTTGTTGGGAATTATATTGTCTGGAACATGGAATTCAAGCTGATGGGCAAATGCCGAGTGATAAGACTATTGGAGGTGAAGATGATTCATTTAATACATTCTTCAGTGAAACTGATTCAGGAAAACATGTTCCAAGAGCAATATTTGTAGATTTAGAACCCACTGTAGTAGATGAGGTTCGGACTGGTACTTATGGTCAACTTTTTCATCCTGAGCAATTGATCACTGGTAAAGAAGATGCTGCAAACAATTATGCACGTGGTCATTACACAATTGGGAAAGAGATTGTTGATTTGGTGTTAGATAGGATTCGTAAACTTGCTGATCAGTGTACCGGTCTTCAAGGGTTTCTGATATTTCATTCATTTGGTGGAGGCACCGGTTCAGGTTTCACATCTTTGTTGATGGAACGACTGAGTGTTGAATATGGGAAGAAATCAAAGCTCGAATTTTCTATTTACCCTGCTCCACAGATTGCAACTGCTGTTGTTGAACCTTACAATTCTATCTTAACAACGCATACAACTTTAGAACATTCGGATTGTGCATTTATGGTTGATAATGAAGCAATATATGACATATGTCGGTAGGTTGCACACTTTATATATTTAGCCTATGATCAGTCGTAATTTAGGCATTGGACGTCCAACTTATACGAACTTAAATCGCTTAATTGGTCAAATAGTGAGTTCTATTACAGCTTCTCTGCGTTTTGATGGAGCTTTGAATGTTGATCTCACTGAATTTCAAACGAATTTGGTCCCTTATCCACGTATTCACTTCCCATTGGCAACATATTCACCTGTGATTTCAGCTGAAAAAGCATTTCATGAACAGTTAAGTGTTGCTGAGATTACTAATGCCTGCTTTGAGCCAGCAAATCAAATGGTCAAATGTGATCCTCGTCATGGTAAATACATGTCCTGCTGCATGTTGTACCGTGGTGATGTTGTCCCAAAGGATGTGAATGCAGCTATTGCCACTATTAAGACGAAACGGACAATCCAATTTGTTGATTGGTGCCCTACTGGCTTTAAAGTTGGGATCAACTACCAACCTCCTACAGTGGTTCCAGGTGGTGATTTAGCAAAGGTACAACGTGCTGTTTGTATGCTGAGTAATACAACAGCGATCGCAGAAGCTTGGGCACGTTTAGATCACAAATTTGACTTGATGTATGCAAAACGTGCATTTGTCCATTGGTATGTCGGTGAAGGGATGGAGGAAGGTGAGTTTAGTGAGGCTCGTGAAGATCTTGCAGCTTTAGAGAAGGATTATGAAGAAGTTGGGGTTGATAGTGCTGAGGGTGAGGGTGATGGAGAAGAATACTGAATAACTGTGAGATGTTACCTATTCCTAATAAATTTATCTCAGCAACTAGGTGGTTTTCAGATTCTTCCAAAATGTTTCATGCCTTAGAGATAGTTTACTGACAATCACCGGTAATTTACTAATACAGTTACTGATCGAGGACTTATCTTTAGGAAAGTAGTTCGTTTATTCTAATGATAAGCACAGCCACGTAGATCTGTAGGCCTTCCGTCCGACAGTGATACACACAGTGGGGAAGGCATTAGGCGCATCATCATAGAAGGTTGCGTTATTTTATTTCCGACCATCTCCAATGATGGCACAGTGAAGCCTTCTTCAGCGGAATAGAAAGCAAGATGTTGGGATAGTCGGAAAAAGAGACCAATAATTACCATGTTAAGTTCAATGGTGTCCTTGAACCTTAAATGTACATTTCTTATTGGTCGATGTTTATTTCACTTGTTAAATATTGTACAAATGTTGTTTCCTATTTTATGGTACGATGTGGGTTGTTTGCTTGGTATATAAATAGAGTATGTTTGAAATACAATGATTCATAACTCAGAGGCTGTGACTTGCGTTCTTGACTCAACTGGCTAGGACAGACTGCGAAGCGGGACCAATCAGGGCACTAGGTCGTCCATACGTGTTTTCCGTGTCTACTGTAATCGATCGATATAAACGCTGTCTAGCATAACCTGCAGTCCCACACGCGTTACAACAATTGGCGACGGGGTAGAGAGAATTTTGAACCCTGTAATTGGACGAGATTCAGTATAATTGTTCTGACCAATCAGTATCCAGATTTTTCGTCGGCGTCCTTGGGAGTCATTGGTTGTTAGTTGATTACAGTATTTCTCATTACTCTGCTGATTCAGAAAATGACTATCCCCTCCGATCAATTGCAGATACTACTAGATCGTTTCAAAGAGAGCCAGTTGAAAGTTTTGGACTATATGCGCACGCGACTGCTAAATCTCCCGTGTTTCGGAGATGTGAAAGAGGTTGACGAATTAATTTCTCACCTGCATACTGAACTCGAGAATGACTGCAGGACATATGAAGATGAAAACAAAAGCCTCTATGAATCCCTTATGATCAGTAATGCAAACGTGGCAGTCGCTCATGATCCATCCAGAGATCCAGAATTGTCCAATTCAGAAGTATGCCCTGTTGTGGGTTCAAATCCCACTGTGCCTGAAACATGTGAGGTATCCAGCTTACAAGAAGAACCTCTCGTGCCAGAAAATGTTTCCCGTGCATCAAATGATGGTCAGAAATCTGATATGAATTTCAAAGATGCTGTTTGTTTTAGTGACCTATTATCCAGTGATCGCATTTTGAAGAGGTCTGAAGGATATGTTGCACAAAAATCAAACCTTAATGACGTCATGTCTGGTGTCGCTAATCCTTATCATCTAGTCAGTTTTAGTGAACCCTCTACTCAATGCGCGAAATATGCTTTAAATAGAGTCAGACTAACTGTTGCTTGGGTATATGAGGACCCAACGTTATTTCGCGGGGGAGGACGGACGCAGAAAATTTTAAAACGCAGATATGAACTCCGCATCTTTCGAAAAAGGGGAGGTGTTGGGATAGTCGGAAAAAGAGACCAATAATTACCATGTTAAGTTCAATGGTGTCCTTGGACCTTAAATGTACATTTCTTATTGGTCGATGTTTATTTCACTTGTTAAATATTGTACAAATGTTGTTTCCTATTTTATGGTACGATGTGGGTTGTTTGCTTGGTATATAAATAGAGTATGTTTGAAATACAATGATTCATAACTCAGAGGCTGTGACTTGCGTTCTTGACTCAACTGGCTAGGACAGACTGCGAAGCGGGACCAATCAGGGCACTAGGTCGTCCATACGTGTTTTCCGTGTCTACTGTAATCGATCGATATAAACGCTGTCTAGCATAACCTGCAGTCCCACACGCGTTACAACACAAGATTTGTTTGAATAAGAGCAAAGCTGTAGCCCAATAAGACCTGAATGTCCTTGAGGCGGTCGCTTCGTTTATCTATAGCTTTTCGCCTGAGTCACAACAAAGTCCCCCATGTTGATTGGTAACAAGCGTCCCGTGATAAAACCCCTACCTCGATTTAATCCTAATATGGGACTTATCAATTGAGAAAATACTTTATACCTAATCATTTCTACATATATCCAGAGATCTGTTTATAAATGTATTGCTCTGATTTGTATCAAGTGTTCTATGTTTGAAACAAGATTTGTAGTGTTATGGTTTTACTCGTAACCAATAAAATTAACCAGATTGCAGCTTAAGACCGCTTATTGGTATGGCCTAGTGACAAGAATAGGAAAAATTAAAAGTACCGAGTAAACAGTGGATAGTTGTTCAATTAACCATCAATACTTGGCTCTATGAAGCGAATAGATAATTTGCAAATTATTTAAAAGGTACAACTTAGGGATTGGAATTATTCACAACTCAATCTCATTTCTGAACTAGGAAGCTACATCACCAATCAAGTTAGCGACGAGAATCATTCTTACCATAATACTGATAAGTCTTGCGGATTTGAACGCTATACTCGTCTCCTAAGCTATTCTGTGACCCCCAAGCTAGAACTATACAGCGACCTGAACACGAGAGAGAAGACTCAAAGTATGCGAGAAGTAGTTTACTCCAAGGTTCATTTTAATACAGAAAATACAGGGTTTTTATAATATTTTAAATGTCCTTGGGTTGCTAGAAGATTCTGGAATGCTACTAAACATAGCAGTGTAGCAACCAGCCAATCAGAACCTCTACATGTGACGTTTCACTTCCTTGGTATTTTTGGCAAAAACTTCAAGTGAACGCTGATTGGACGAAATGCCTCTTAGTGATTCCTGATGCTTGCTTGTCCTTTGCAAGCAATTTTCTGGATCACTCCAACAAATACCAACGGAATATACCATTCTTATTACATGTAGTCGTGTTTCATTTGTTTCGTGAAACTTTTAAGTAGTAGACGGTACTTGTATTGGCAGCTGAATGAATTTTATTGAGAACTCAACTTTTACCATACTCCGTGATAAGTCTTATCGATTGAACGCTATATTAGTTTCCTAAGCTATTCTGGTACCCCAAAAGCTAGAACTGCACAGCGACTTGAACACCAGAGAGAAGACGCAAGTAAGAGGGAAAATACTTTACTCCGAGGTTCATTTTATTACAGAAAATATAGGGCTTTTATAATATATGTAAATGTCCTTGGGTCTCTGGAATGTTCTGGAATGCTACCAAACATAGGTAGCACTGTAGTACCCAACCAATCAGAGCTTCCGCATGTGACGTTACGCTACCTTGATATTTCTGGCCACAACTCCAAGTGAACGCTGATTGGACGAAACACTTCTTAGTGTTTCTTGATGCTTGCTTGTCTTTTGCAAGCGATTTCTGGATCACCCCAACACTCCGGGGATACAATATGAAATAATTTACTTGCAAAAGTTATCAATGTTCATAATGTTACCTGTATATAATTAGCCAACTATTCGACTAAACGACACTAGTCTATTCAAAATATTTGATTGAATTTATAAACATTTACATAAGTTGTATGTTTAGAATAAGTTTATTCATGAGAACTGATTGATAATAAGTTTTCTCTTCATTCCATGTACCTAAACGATCAATCAAAGTTAACAACATTTACTGATACATTGAATGAGTGCTTTTTGTATTAGCCTAAATTACTTATACAACCTAATAATACCTTTGAATGATTCAACTTAAGTAAATCGAACATACCTATACAATAAATAAAAGTGACTAAATGTATGCACATTGTTGTCTGTCATCTTTATTGATGTTTCGAAAGTAGGCTGAAGTATTATTTGAATTCTCAAGAATAGTATCTACCTAGTTTGATATAACCTGTTAAATTTATCATATATTTTCATTGTTACCAAGATCATTGATAATGTAGGTTGGCTTTAATAGAATGGAGTTAAAATAACAAAAGACTTATTAGATTGAGTTAATTTTCGTTTATAAAATCAATCATTATTAATAGTAATATTATTAAACTACTTTTTTATTGAATAAATAATTTTAGTAGGTGAGATCATGAGTCAATTGAAGCTGGATCACCATGGAAAGCCTGGAAGCACTGGACGACCGTTATGTCCTAGTATGGGACTCCTCAGCAGTGCGCATCCACGATCCCGCCTCGCGAGATTCGAAACCAAGGACCTGTCAGTATCGCATGCGAACGCTTAACCTCTAGACCATTGAGCTTGGGTTCGAACCTCGTGAGGTGGGATCGTGGATGTGCACTGCTGACGAGTTCTACAATAGGACAAAACGGTCGTTCAGTGCTTCACCGTTTTTCATGGTGTTTTACCTTCAATTGACTCATGATTTCAACTATTAAATTACTATAATATCCACAAAAAACCCCTTCTGTGAATAAATAATTACTACATAGATTTGGTTTATACACTGAAACTGCCCAAGGTCATTTCGGATTGAGTTGCTTTACAATCATCTGAATACTATTATTAGGAACTAATGTGACGGTAAATGTTAATTTCTTGACATAGTATATCCTTCTAAATGAGATTATTGACTATATGCTCTTTATACCGATATTCTAGTCACCATATTCATATGTAAGAGGTAAGATATGAAATGATATATAGCTTTAAATAAATCTGAAATCTGTATATTGTAACACAAAATCGACTTTTAGAAATAACAATTTTGCCAACCGATTCATATACTCAATTCAGTCTCGAAGATGATCAATAAGATAACTCCCAGATACTGATTTGTGTAGGATTATTTGTAAATGAACAAATGATACTATTGGGCTAGGTAGTATGCAGTTAGAACATGCGACCTACCGTTAAACGATTAGTGATTTAACCACTAATCTATTTCCTCACAGTATAACCAGCTATCACATTAATAATGTGTTCAGAAGATAATATATCCTAACCCAAGCTGGATCCAAAGAATAAGTTGAAACACTATACTAGCTGAGTAAGATTTCTAGCTGTTAAAGAAGTAACTATGGCTAGAATCCCCTTAGATTAGTATGGATGTGATTACTGAATTACAGTAAGATTTGTGCTTTTCTGTGCAGAACTCATTAACATCTTCGAAAAGGATAATATCCAATTTCATTATAAGATAATATTGGCTAAATATTTATGTTATTCTTGAAAATTAACTGTCGAAGTATAACCGTTTTCATTTGGTGAAGAAAAACTAGAACATTCTATCATTTATGTATATAAATAAAACTGATGTTGGTTTATATATAAACCAAGTATGTTTAAAATATATGATTCATACAGTGGGAGCTATTATTAGCGTTCTGGACTTAATAGGCAGGGCTAGTCAGGATAAATTTCAACAAGGACACTAAACTGAACAAATCGATCAGTATGTCATTGTTGTGGCATAGTGTTAAGATCATATAACTAGTATTCTGATTAGTGATCATGTCACATGGTAATCAACCAGGGAAAAGTCATATTAATAAAATAATAATAGATTGTGCCTTCAAATTCCTACAATTGAAGAACATATGGAACTCAAAACAACTTTCAACAAATATCAATGTCACAATCTTCGATACGAACGTCAACACAGTTCTACTATACGGAGCTGAAACGTCGAGAACTACTATAATCATCATCAAGAAGGTACAAGTATTTATCAGTAGTTGTCTACGCAGCATACTCAACATCCATTGGTCGGATACCATCAGCAACAACCTACTGTGTGAGAGAACAAACCAGCTTCCAATTGAAGAAGAAATTAGGAAAAGATATTGGAAGTGGATAGGAAATGCATTGTGGAGACCACCGAACTGCATCATGAGGAAAGCACTAACTTTGAATCGTGAATGGAAGCGGAAAAAAGGAAGACCGAATAATACATTACGTCGGGAATTGGAAGCAGATATGAGAAGAATGAACAACAACTGGAAAGGATTGCCCAGGAGTAGGTTGGATGTAGAGTGCTGCTGAGCGGCCTATGCTCCTCCACGAGTAGCATAACAAGCGTAAGTAAAAGTAAATTTCATACTCAAATATTAGAGAATGATATCCAAAACAAACGAGTGCTTCATCATAAATCATAATCATCATTAATTTATTCACAATGTACAACTTTTATATCTTGTTTAATCATTTTTATACATTGAATATTTATTCATCATGATTATCACTAGATAAATCATTTTTAACTGTAACAATATTTGTTAAATCATCAAAATTTTTATTATAACACATATAATCAGTACTACTTATAGATTTGTAAGTAGTTTCTGGCTTATTAATAGTATTATTATCCCAATATGATTGATGAAAATATAAATTTTGATTATGTAAACAACAAGGAACTAGAATATTTTTTTGTTGTGAATGACATAATGAAGATAATTGATTTTTATAGATTTCAATAATATTTGAGTTGGAGTTCACTTGATAACAAACTGGGATGATTTTGTCCCAAATTGTATGATCATCATCAACATCATTATCATTATCATCACAATTTTGAATATTTATCACTTTTAATGTATCATGATGATATAGATTATCCTCTTGATTATGAAATCTATCATGATGAGTTTTAATTGAACAATCGGATTGAATACATTTCACTTGTGAACAATGATAACTTTGTTGAGATTTATCTTTAAGCATATTATTCATAGAATAATGTTTGTTATCATTTTCATCGATAATGGATTGTGAAGCTTTAGTATTCAAGGGATTATTACATAAGTTATAGGTAATCAATGGATTATCATTGTATTTTTCATGATTAGATCGATAGAAGGATTGACAACAACATTGACTGTAGGGAGTTTGACATACTGAAGAATTACATTGATAATAGAATGTTATAAAACTGATTCCACTTATTAAAAAAATGATAAAATTATAAAATTTGTAGAGAATTTGATAAATATATTATCAGATTGACAAATAGAATCTATATATAAAAAGAGAAATATCAATTAGAAATTGTTTATAATTAAGCAATGATGGATATTGGTTAGCAGTGGAATCTAGGACGCGTGCCGCTTTGTCCTATTTGAGACTCATCGGCTGGATGTACCTGTATCTCAGAGTTGATGTTCACTCTGATAGTCGATCATCGCAGTCCTAAACATTAATGCGAAGATTCAAACAAACAATACAAAGTGTATTCAAACTTCACGCCATTGCACAAGCGAATGGCTATCAGGATTTAGTAGCTAAGTGGATAACGTGATGACGTTTGAAGCGAACGGTACTGGTTTGGAGTCCCGGAGTGAACATCAACTCTGAGATGCAGGTGCATTCAACTGACGAGTCCCAAATAGGACGAAACGTTGTGTGTCCTGGATTCCATTACTAGTCACTATCCATCTTTGTTTATACTTGTTATTACTCATAATTTTTAAGTAGTTTGCTTCTTAGATATTCAATAACAGTTAATCAAATGAGTGGAAATAGAATGAAGCCCTTTATTTAATACACTATAATAACACATAAAGAATCAAATAGTAATTCATAATTACAGTTTCTGAAGATATAATGAAAAATTTATGTTGTAAATGTTCATTGACAATATACAAATTAATTCATGAAAGAATAAGTCAAATAACTAAACAGTTTATTACTACGTGAAGTAAGAGCTGATGATATTGTTTAGGATGACAATGAAAGCTCCGTAATTAAACCGTCCAGTTCAAAGAGCTCAAGAATATAAGAAATCCCATGTTTTTCTAATTCTCTTTTCTCTATCTTAAAATGAAACAGTATCACTCCATAGGTTTTATATGTGTAATTGATCGTAGATAACCATTGCAAACCCGGAAGCACTGAACAACCATTCCTCAACAGTATGGAACTTCATAGAAGTGCACATTCACAAACCCATAATCAACAACCAATCTCAACACCTCCAGTTTCGCGCGTAAACGTTCAGTCTCTAGATTATTGAGCTGAAATCTAATGGTGAACAAATCTAACTTTATTCAAACCATGATAATGCTCTATCATCTTATATTTCGTAGAGTGGATAACTATCTCACATCTGACATGAACTGAACTCCACTGATCATAGCTTTACACTAGAACTCCATGATTTACATCTATAAACTAGTCAGTAGTGAATGCATTATTATGTCTTGATTAAAAGTAAACATGTACATCACTTGATCGTAAAAGAAGGATTATTAAAAAGCAACTACTTGAGAAAAATATTCAACTTACTTATACTCTTATTCTGTATAAATACAGGGGAATAAGGAGAAGAATATGGTGATGGAGATATTGAATTGTAGTTGGAAATTTTAATTTTCAACGATTTCGTTAACATTAATATTGATGGGAACATATCACTCTCCGATAAATCTGATTGATGTACATCATAATCTAACGATCTCATATGATCATTACAATATGAAGGCTATAGAATGAAAATATTAAAAGTAAAAGGATTCAGTCATGTTAAATAAATATATTGATAGATGACCTTAAAGCGATACTGAAGTGATCTTGTGAACATCCACCGGCAAGACTATAATTTATGAACGAACCAATCACGTATAAGATAACAGGTCTCGGATTTTGGCGCGACATTCACCCATCCATTTGACTGAATAGAGTTTTGGCATTATAGCTGATGTCAGTTCATCATGAAAACCGTAAATCTAATTCCTAACCTTAACGATCAACTGTAAATGATAATTCAAATTCCTCACACAGTTTTATAACGCTCATTTGGTTCTAGTTATAAGGTGGGCACTCTCAAAGTCACCTTGGTGTCGCTGAGAGGTCATCCATAGATTACAGTCTCACCCATTCACCTACTTACTAGAATTAAAAGGGTGATATAAATTAGTATAAGAAATCGAAATCTGGATTTAGAGTTAAATGTTAGGGTTAGGGATTAGAGTTAGAGTTTTCATTATGAACTGATGTCAATTATAGTGCTGAAATGCTATTTAGGTCTTGGAATAAACTCCATGTTGTCAAGTATCGTAGTCAGTAAATATGACTACGTTTTCTTTGCTTAAGTCACCCAGTTTAAGATATTTGGAAACAATTTCTATCACAGAATTAATGAGATATGACATTTGTTGTTTTGCAAATTTTCCCCATCATAACTAACTTCTCTACACTTGGTACTTCCGTAGTATGATAAAGTGTTATTTTTGTCATTGGAAACTACATTTTTCATTTAAGCCAGCTAAAACGACTGAGAAAGAAATATACCCTCCATCATGGATTACAGTAGTGTAAATAACCTCTGTTACCAGAGATGGTTCCTAAACTGATTACTTCGTCAGTACCATTTAGTCTAAATCCCAAATTGAACGAAATGCACATTCCAGATTCCAATGCTAGCCACTAACTACTTTTTAGGGGAAAAACTGAAATTTTAGATAGTTTATCAAATTATAGTGTAGCTTGGAATGGGAATTAGTTAAATGTGGTCATTTTACAGATAACCCATCTGATCTATGATAGTTTTTTCTCATTTGATGAATACGTTTTTGCTCAGATACTTCAACAAGATGCTCAATCAGAAATTACGGTAATGTTAAGTATTAAGATTATGTCAGAGAAGGCGATTAACAATGAAAAAAACCCATCTTAGTTATATTACGTTGATGAATACAACCTCCATTGTATTCACTAGTATCTATGGTGTATGGAATAAGAATAACTTGCCATTTGATCATCTACACTTATTTCAAATCATTTACCAGCTATAATTTGTTATTGTTCCCATTGAAGTTTTCTGACCAGAAGAATCTAATGACATGAATTAGTAGAACATGTCTGAATACTACTTTGTTTTGTTTAAGGTCACGAATAGTTATGATCAAGTGTATAGGCTACTGTATTAGATACATATTGAATCAACACGCAGATTAACCACTAAAACTTTAACTATGAAAAGCAAAACGATACGAAGGTTGGTCAAAATAAAAATAAATCAATATGGGGTTGTGGAGATCGTTGATTTTCATTAAAATCACATACCGATCTAAGCTATGGCCAGTAAAGTTCACTTCATGTTAGATAGTTATCCACTCTACGAAATATAAGATGATAGAGCATTATCGTAGTTTGTTTAAAGTTACATTTGTTCACCATTAGATGTCAGCTCAATAACCTAGATACTGAACATTTACGCGCGAAACCGGAGGTGTTGAGATTAGTTCTTGATTATGGGTTTGTGAATGTGCACTTCTATGGAGTTCCATACTGTTGAGGAATGTTTGTTTAGTGCTTGCAGATCTTCAGTGGTTCCCTAACTTGGATCGGTTTGTGACATCGTTAACATAAAGAACCTCTCTAGTCAATGTATTATCCTTGATTTACTTACCCATACACACCATCTAATGTGTTGGCAAACACGAAATATACAATTGATATGTAGTTCTGATGTGGCTGTAAAACTTGCGTTTGAATAAAGTCCCATTACATTAGAATTCAATTGAAATGAATTGGCTTCTGTTATATTTGTCAATAACTTCATACTACTGACAGAAGTATATTTATTCAATGGAATAGCGAAGTTTGCATATGTGGATAAATGATTTGAATGAAATTTTATTTCGTTAATAACTTCAGGTGAATATATTAGACAACTATAAAAAAAGGATATATAATATTGTTCCATATAAATAAAGTCGGTAGAATGATTTTTAAGCAAAGATGTATTGTGGCTAGCAGTGGGATCCAGGACTTGTCAATTGGATGTACCTGCATTCCAGAGTTGATGTTCACTCCGAGACTTTGTAGTGGCTGTGCTTCGTTAACCAATCACCCTCGTAACCGTTACCATATAATCCTCAACGGTGTTTGAAATCAGAAGGCAAAGAGAAGCAGCGACTACAGTTTTATTAGCAGATAACTCAGATCACAAAGCAGTGAGGCAAATGAATGAGTCAGGGAACTGAGAGTTTTTGTAGAGTATTAAATGTACATGTATATATTAAGGGAAATGAATGGATCACCGAATCAATTAAGCAGTTAATAATAAAGCTAGTAGAATGAATATATGGATAGGTGGTAAGCAATGTCCAAGTCTATATATTTCATACAAGCACAACAATAATAAAGGTACAGTATGTTGTTATGGTAAGGATGACTTTGTCCGCTAAATAAGTTAACAAAAGGGCTTAGCTGAGTTAAATGAAAACAAACTCAATTGCACGTGAGTTGCTATAACTTGAACAATTTCCTACCAAAAAAAATTTAATGATCAAATGATCTAGTGGTTGTCCTCAATTATTACAATTCCTGAAATCGAATTTCCTGAACAGATCACTCTAAATTTAACCAATTAACCTATTTCAGGGAGTGTTTCCAGTCTAGGAATATTTGGTGCCTGTGGTTGATTCTACATTCGATTGAATGATATTGATGTTACATCAAGTATATATTCATATGTATCTTGTCGACAAAGCGCGTTAGTAACAATGTCAAATAGGAAACTATTTAAGGAATGTATATTACCGATATTTGACAATACAGGCGACCGAACAATAAGAGATGAAAAGAAATGTATATGAATTAGTGTAACCGAAACACATAGTTCAATCAATGATGGGTGATACAACATTTGGAAGAAATTTGTCCAAAGTTTAGAATAATTTACGTCACCTACAAATGTGTTTCATACATTTCCAGATCAATCACTGTCAGCTATTTTACAGCATTTTTTCCATACCATCAAAACATTGTCCTTTGGTCAGACGGAAGATAAATCGTACATGAATTAACTGAAAAGCTATTTAATAAGAAAATCAGTGTTCAATCTTAATTTATGTTTTTTTTTATGATTGTGAGTAAATATCATTGCCATCAAATGCCCTGGTACGGCCGAAAGTGGGGAGAGTCCGCTCTTCCCCTCGAAATACTCTCACATGGCCACGCGTATACAGCCTCTGTCAAAGAAGTCCTACTCACTGCCTTCTCATGGCGGGGGTGTTGTTTACGAAAATGAGAGGACGAAAAGCAAATGTCCAGCGCTTTAACCGGATTACAAACCAATGGTGCACATGGGCTCCAGTATCCTGTGGGAACAAATGGCGTACGAACCAATTGTTGGTCACCGGCTTCCATGGGACTGCATCTCGTTACGATGCTCCACTGCCTTGTGGATCAGATCTTCAGGTCGAAGTCTCGGGGTGTGGCCCCCTAAGAAAACCACCTGTTTCGTTTTGGGCACCCGGGCAGTATCGCAGCCCTCACACATATCGAATGAGATTTGTGTGGCGCATATGTATTTGGTGCCTCCTTGTACCAATATCTATGTGTTAAAATAATAATAATAAATATCATTCACAACCTTGAAAAACTGGAAACTATTTCTGCAATACTGACTATAAGTTTATTTATGTAGTTATTTAAACACATAAACATTGGTACATAGAGGCACCAAATAGATAGGAGCCACATAAATCATTCGATTTGTGTAAGGGCTGAGATACTTCCCTGGTGTCCAAACCGAAGCAGGTGGTTTTCTTAGGAGGCCACACCCGGAGCCTTCAACCTAAAGGTCTGAATCACAAGACGGTGGGGCAACGTCAGGAGATGCAGTCCCACGGTAGCTGGTGATCAAAAATTGGTTCGTACGCCATTTGTTCCACCAGGATTCTGGAACCCATCAAGGTTTTCCAAATCCCCTAGGTAGACTCTCCATGTCTACCAACCTGGTTAAAGCGCTGGATATTCACTTTTCGTCCTCTCGATTTTGTAAACAACACCCTGCCTCGAGAAGGCAGCGAGTAGGACTTCCCTAGCAGTGGTTGTTTGCACGTACCCACGTGAGAGGATTTCGAGAGGGAGAGCTGACTTTCCCCACCCTCGGCCGTACAAGGGCATTTGGGAGCACCAACTGCTATAAGTAACATGTAGCGAAACAGTACTGAACTATTCAGCCAATATTGAGTACTATACAATGCGTTATTCATGCAGTAGCCAGAAAATTTAATTAACCAAATAAAACAGATATGTATATACTAAGAAAAGACAAAATACCATCATTTTTAGGTATAGTACTGAGTGTTTTGAATCTGAATTTATGAAGAGTCTTAAATTTCTTCAAGCTTAAAGAAATTCCTGGTAGATCACTGTTTACATGTATGACATAAAAGTCTAGTGATGTTTCCAACTATCCTTTATTGAATATAACGATTTAGTTTTTATTCACTTAACTCATTATTTATACTGTAGTGTATGCTACTTATGCTATCAGATATAAGTAGTATGTAGCCAGAAGTGAAATGCCTGGTAGCTGAAGTTTGAATTGAAGAGAACAGAAAAGAAATCTAAGAGCAATCAAAATATCAATAGAATCAGAAGAATAATGGATTGGTTAAACGACAACTCAAAGAAGATATGTCAATCATGTATTTAATGTATATTTTTCATACTTTACTAAGCCATAGTGTAATTTTATATTAAATAGTGAATTGGTTATCCTCTACGTGAGTTTTCGTTCATTTCAATACTACAAACTTTATCCATAAAGATTAGATCAATATACTTCAAAAAACTGTCTTGTTAACTTTCCAACAGCACACCTTTTTTTGATTAGACTCTCATAGACTGTATGTCAAATAAAACAAATTATGACCGGATGATGAATTATAGTGAATGAGAACACAAATGGGGACATCCAGTTGTATTACAGAATATCTTGGTAAAATCTAAGAACCATACAGTTGATATTCATTTGCCAAATATCCATCAATTGTTTCAGACTTGATTGTTCTTTTGTTTCCATACCAATCACTCTCTGTTTTTATTCTCTTACCTTCAATTTTCTCAACTTTCTGTGGCCAGACATTTCACTTTCGATTGGTGATACATACTTCTTATATCTGTCGACATCAGTAACACACACACACACACCACAGAATTCGGTTTTCTTTTATGGAGACTATTTAAAAGTAAGGTGTTATGAATGCACCTTTAATTAACATTTGTAAATCATTCTGAATTATACAACGTCATTCTCTTTTACTAATTCAGTGCAAAATATTCACAAGAAGAAATAATACTCAATGAAATAATGTAAACAGCTCTAATACATTTAATCAACACTACTACGATTGGGTAATGTATGTGCCTCACATTATCCAATAAGTACAAAGATCGTGAATATCAAGAATCTATAGGTAAAATGTCATAAGTCTTCAACATCTATGGTACTTTCAGGTAGTTTTCTATCTTGAAGTAAAATATTTGTTTTCCAAATACTCATTTATTTAAAAGAAGCTTCGTTCATTTACGATATCATAAATATCTTTATAGATGACTTCAAATTGAAGAAATGACACTAGACTTAACTATCTATGATCATTACGAATGAATTTTCAAATCGTTTTCTGTACATTACTCGTTCGGCTTATGCCAACTTACGTTACCTATGGCGAAGGGGAGATATCCATCTATCAATAAAAGGATGAGTATACTACGCGGCAGTCCGTTCTGTTTTAATTTACGGCTGCGAAGCGTGGCCATTAAGAGTAGAAGATACTCGTGATCTACTAGTATTTGACCACAGATTCCTTAGAAATATTGCTCGCATCTGCTGGGCTCACCGGTTAAGTAATAGTGAGGTTAGACACAGGGTATTAGGGTGTTAGGTTCCGATAAGCATAATGAATGGTAACTTTGGGATCCATTTTTGGACCAATACTAAACCTTTATTTTTATCGTATAATTGTTAAATAACCAAACTATTCATATTCATATTCCTCTTATTATAAGCTTTATTTCGACCTATGAACTATTATTATACTTTTTACCATTCTTGAATTATGCCCGATCTATTAGTCACTGCCTCCCACATTCACAGCCACTTTTGGCCAAATCTTGTACAAATGTTGTTTTCTATTTTATGGTACGTTGTGGTCTGTTTGATTGGTATATAAACTCAGTATGTTTGAAATATAATGATTCATATCGCAGAGACTCGGACTGGTGTTCTGGAATTAACTGGCTGGGCCAGGCGGAAAGCGGGGCCAAACAGAACTCTAGGATGCTCGCACGTGTTTTACGCGTTCTTGATCCGATCGATAATTCACTGCTCTCTAATTGGTGGTATCTTTACGTTATACATTAACAGGGCACACAGGTCAAAAGTTGTAACATAGGGATTGATGGTAAATCAGTTAATGAGGTTATGAATCTCCATTGACTGAGGTGGTTGGGCCACGTGTTACGTATACATCATCCAAAGCTAATTGATTAAACTTGAGTGCTGTTAGAGGTGTTGCGCATGCCTGAACACCGATTACTACGACGTGCAATGCTAACCGGTGTTGGAGATGGTAGGAAGAAAGTTAGGGACGACCAAACCAAAACGTGGCATCAGTCCTTGAATTCACTAACTTCTGTTCTGATTCATGTTGGTAGATGCATACAACTTGGTTGGGGTCCGCGTGACTATCATAACCAATGGTTAAAGACTCTGGGTGACATTGGCTCAGAATCGATCACAATGGCGTCGGTGTAGAAACTCTCTGTCTTCCCTTAAACTAAGAGATTAGAATCGCTTCATATCATTCTTTTTAGAAAGTAATTCTCTCTTCCTGTACCACTACTGAATTAACTACTTCTATGAATTTGGTATTCACCTTGTTGTGCTAATGACGTATGGCAACTTGAACCGATGCATATATGTGCCTGGTCCTAGGTTGTAGCTGACTGAATGGTATGATTTAATTGAGAAAAGTTAAAAAAAAGGGACGAATTCGTAGTATGTCACTGAGTGACGGCATAATATACGTTTTTCTTATTAATCTCAGGTAATGTGTATATGATATAAAATTAACATTGAAAAGTTGTTTAATAAGACAAATGCTATTTGATATTCCACTTGTTGAATTTCGAGTTCATCAAGAGATCTGAGGATCCTATGTTATGGATATTCACTTTTGAAGAGTCTCATACTTGAACGAAGCGGTTTTCACAGGTTGTCCAACTATGATCACTTCATGATGTGAAATACAAAAGAAAATCTCTACTTATAGACCTGATGTTGCATTGATCATACAATTACAGTTTTACTGAAATTACTATAAATATAATTCAAAACACTTACTTTTTATGTACAATTATAATTTCATCTGATTTTACATACGGTGATGTTTGACTTATGGAACATTGTTCAATACTGATGTATGTGTACGAATCTATATGACAAAAGATATGATACTGATAAGTGAAATCTTTAAAGTTGTTAGGTTTTAGTTCTTTCTATGATTATATCTGCAATACCATACGCTTTATGATTGAAAAATAAATTATAATCAGTTTTATGGTATTCCAATAGCTTTTGATGGTCACAGTAATGTTGATTCAATTTTTATAAGTGACCGTTTAGACTTTTAAAAATCATATTGCTGATTGAAAAACCAGCTGTAAATATTTCAGTCCTATAGGATGTCAGTCGCGTCCTTAAATCTTTGTGGTAACGTCTTAGATTGGGAAACTGGGCGACTTTAGTTCTAACCTACCAATAAGCTATCAGCTCTCGCAAAATTTCAATCATGTTTTGCTGTTATGTAGAAAGACAATGAAAGTTGGACGATCAAATTGACCAGCTCAGAGGATCCGAATTCACTAAGAACATTGATCAGCCATTGTAAACCAAACAATGTCATGCTCTCCAGTTACATGTACTCATTAAATTCTATTGATCAACTTTGTATTTAAGTTATTACTATGAGCGACATACATATAGCACTGACCATAAAATCATGTTAGCGACCTTGGAGAATTCCATCTGAATACAGCCATACACTATTGTAAAAGGTTTTAATGGTAACTCAGTGCAAGGGCCCTCTCCTGAAAATCCTATATTTAAAATTTAGCACATCGCTTCACTTAACAGTCGCTTTTCTACTACTTCAATATCATACTACTCATACTTAATTAGTAGTTTGAGTCATGGTCAACTGCATAATTCGTATACTGTCATTTTTGGCAATTGCATATCTCAGCAAACTACTTATATTTCCACATGATACATGTAAGTTCTGTTTTCTGCGATAAAATAAACATTTTAATTTTATTCATACTGAAGTATTTAAAAGGCTCACTTCTTCTCTGATTGAGCGTTTGCCAACGTAATTGATAACTGGATATCTCACGTTTTGTCGTTTTTAAACATGTACAATTTGTGTCCTATATTTAGTGAAATCAGGCATTTCGAATTTGTAATTTCATGTCTAAATCGGTCATCAGTTTAGAATCCTTGGATAAGTTTTTTTAGTATGCTATATAATTGATATAGATTTAAAATGATCTTCTATGAAATTCTTATCGTAGAAAAAAAGTTTATACTCAATGGAGAGGGATCTATCATGTAGAGAAACTGTAAAGGGATCAAGGAGGCAATCACTTCAACATGTCATGAGGTTCTGAGCTACAAGAAGCATCATCATAAGGAAAGGATCACTGTTGATACACCGGATAAGATTCAAGAAAGGAGGAACAAGAAGGCAGCAATCAATATCAGCCGAACAAGGTCAGAGAAAGCCAATGCACAAGCCTAATACACAGGAGCAAACAAGCAAATGAAGAGAAACATCAGAGCTGACAAACGTAAATATATGAAATATCTAGCAACGACGGAAGAAAAGGCTGTAAGGGAAGGAAGTATGAGAAAATTGTATGATACAACAATGTAGCTCTCTGGAAATTATCGTGAACCAGAAAGACCAATGAAAAGCAAGGAAGGTAAAGTAATCACCGACATTGAAGAACAGTGAAACAGGTGGGTAGAGCACTTTAAAGAACTCTTGAATCGACCAGTCCCACTGAACCCACTCAACATCGGAGTAGCACCTACGGACCTCACGATCGATGTTGGCCCACCAACAATTGAAGAGATCAGCATGGCCATCAGACAAATCAAGAGCAGCAAAGCAGAGAGACCAGAAAACATTCCAACAGAGACACTGAAAGTAGACTTAACAGTAACTGCAAAAATACTCAACATTCTCTTCAGCAAGATTCCGGATGAAGAACAAGTACCAACAGACACCTGATCAAGATACCAAAGAAAGGCGATCTCAGCAAGTGTGAGAACTACAGGAATATCACTATTCTCTCATTAACAGGAAAAGTCTTCAACGGAGTGTTGCTAGACAGAATAAACGATTCCGTAGACTCCGGACTTCGAGATCAACAGGATCGATCATGCACCGACCAAATCGTAACACTACGGATCATTGTGGAACAATCAATTGAATAGAATTTACCACTCTATATCAACTTCATTGACTACGATAAAGCATTTGATAGTATGGAAAGAACAACACTATGAAGGCGTACCTTAGAAGATAGTCAGTCAGTCAGTCAATCAGTCAGCAACATCGTACTCGCTTCGGTGGTACATATACTAAAATTGAAACGATACAGAGTAGATAGTCAATGTCACACGGAATTTGGATGATGGATTAAACTGCAAAATCGCTCATGGAGGACAACTGACAGACTCGTTCGAAGTAAAGGCCAGTGTCAGGCAACGTTGTTTACTCTCATACTTTCTCTGTCTTTCGGTGATTGACTGGATTATGAAGATATCAATGTCTGTGGGAAGCACGAGATAGAGTGGACAGCTTGGATGCAGCTGGACGATCTAGACTTTGCCAATGATCTGGCTCTTCTGTCGAACACGCAACAACAAATTTAGGGGGACGACTAGTGTAGCAGCAGTCTCAGCAGTAGTAGGTCTCAACACAAACAAAAGGAAAAGAAAGATTCTTTGATACAACACTGCATGCACCAGTTCAATCACAACTGACGGAGGAGATTTGAAAGATGTAAAAGCCTTTACATATTTGGGCAGCATCATTAATTAACACGGTGGATGTGATGCAGATATGGAGGAACGGATCGGTAAAGCAAGAGCAGCATATCTACAAATAAAGAACATTTGGAACTCAGAACATCTGTCAGTCAACACCAAATTTAGAATTTTCAATATAAATGTCAACACAGTTGTACTGTATAGGGCGGAAACCTGGAGAAGTACGACAGCAATCATCCAGAAGATGTAGGTGTTTATTAACAGTTGTCTACGCAAAATAATTCGGATCCGTTGGTCAGACACTATCAGCAACAAACTACTGTGGAAGATAACAAACCAAATTCCAGTGGAGGAAGAGATCAGGAAGAAGTGCTAGAGATGGATGTGACACACATTGTGGGAAGCACTCAACTGCGTCACAATTTAAGTCCTCACTTGGAATTCTCTAGGCCAAAGTAGAAGAGGAAGTTGAAATAGCACATTACGCTGAGAAATGGAGACATACATGAGAAGAATAAACTGCAGTTGGATAGAACTAGAAATGAAGGCCCAGGACAGAGTGGGCTGGAGAATGCTGGTCGGCAGCCTGAGTCATTGAGAGTAACAAGAGTAAGTAAGTAAAATAAAAAGAAAAAAATATTTATGCATAAATAATAAGCACCTACTATTTTGATAATAATACTGAACTTGCAAATGTAAAGTTTCTCTTGTATGAATCACAGTTTGTGGATATTTCTTGTTTAAATCATTTTGAATTGTAAATTTTAAATTTTGGTGAAGTTTATCTAAACTTTTCGACTGATTCCTAGTAGTGTAATTTCCATGAATCATTCTACGAAGAAAAAAATCAGAGAATAATAAACAAGAAAGTAATGGATAAATGTTTAATAGTTTATATTTCTTTTACAACTTGTGGTGTTATGCCTAATTAATATATTACATAATGATACCCCAAATGCCCTGGTACGGCCGAAAGTGGGGAGAATCCGCTCTTCCCCTCGAAATGCTCTCACATGGCCACGTGTATATAGCCTCTGTCAGGGAAATCCCACTCACTGCCTTCTCGCACCACGGGTGTTGTTTACGAAAATGAGAGGACGAAAAGTGAATGTCCGGCGCTTTAACCGGATTCCAAACCAATGATGCACATGGGCTCCAGTATCCTGTGGGAACAAATGGCGTATGAACCAATTGTTGGTCACCGGCTTCCATGGGACTGCATCTCGTTACGATGCTCCACTGCCTTGTGGATCAGACCTTCGTGTCGAATGCTCGGGGTGTAGCTCCCTAAGATAACCACCTGTTTCGTTTTGGGCACCCAGGCAGTATCACAGCCCTCACACATATCGAATGAGATTTGTGTGACGCATATGTATTCGGTGTCTCCTTGTACCAATATCTATGTGTTGAAATAAATAAGTAAATAAATATCGCCAAATAGAGAACAGCGATTTATCGACCGAACCAATGACACATAAAGCCCATACGACCAGTCTACAGTCCTTATCGATCCCGCTTCCTGAATAGCCATGCCTTCTCGTTGAGTCCAGAACACCAATCTCAGACTCTGCAATATGAATTATGTATTTTAAATATACTGGATTTATTTACAAATCAAACAGACCACATCGTATCATGAAATGGGAAACAACATCTGTACAAGATTTAGTCAAATGTGACTGTGAATGCGAGAGATAGTAATTGATAGACTGGGTATAACTCAAGAATGGCAGATCGTATAATAATAATAATAATAATAATAATAATATATATATATATATATATATATATATATATATATATATATATATATATATATATATACTGTTAGTCCATAAACAGATCCCAACAGTTATCATTCATTATTCTCATCGGAATATGACAACTTCATACATTTTTAGAAAAAGCATCAGTACAATTCATTTTATACAACGGTTTCAGCAAACTTCAGAAGATTGGATTTCGGCTGCTTACTAATCACCTTGAAAGATTTCAAGGTCTCCATCCGATGTCCTGTATCAAGGAGATGTTCGGTGATCGCACTGTTTAGAGTCTTTCTTTCTTTTGTTCTGAGACTTTTTGGAACATGTTCATTTTATAGTTTATTACATGAAATATAGAACAATAGATTATGTATATAAGGAAGTTAATGAGTACGAAGATATACTACTGAATATATATCACGTACTACTTTAATATGCATAGTCAATTCAATGATGGTAATTGAATATAAATTCTCATGGAGAATATTGTTCTCATTTTAATATTTCATTATTAAAATTCATGATCATTTCTAAATGGTTATTTTACTTCTAATACGTGTCTTCCATATAATCGTGTATAGGCATAAATTTCATTGTAATGTGTTTTAATGTAATTGTTTTATTTCTATTCACTTGGTATTGTTTGCTTAAATCTTCCCATTGAGTCTTAAGACTGCAATTGATCAGTCTGTTATTGGCATACATGCATACTTTGCGTATTGTCTCGATATTGCCTTAATTCAGAAGCTTATAAACAAAGATGGATAGTGGCTAGTAGTGGAATCCAGTTTGAAGCGCGTTTCGTCCTATTCGGGGCTCGTCACCTATATAGTTGCAGTTCTAAACATGAATGGAAAGATTCAAGCAAACAATACCAAGTGAATTTAAATCCACGGATCGCATAAGCAAGTGGCTATCAGGACTCAGTAACTGAGTGGATAACGCGATGGTGAGTGGTACTAGGTTCGAGTCCCATAGTGAAAATCAACTCTGAGATGCAGGTACATCCAACTGACGAGTCCCAAATAGGATGAAGCGGTGCGCGTCCTGGATTCCACTATTAGACACTATTCACCTTTAATTATAAAGTTTGTTTTATTTGTGTTTCTTCTGATATAAATTATCTTTTACAACCATCAACATCTATTAAAGTTAACAGATTAGATTCTAGAAATGATTTGTAATACATTTTTATATTTTAATGAATAATATTAAAGGTAAATTGTACTTGTTATGATCATCTTATAACTTGTAGAAAGAAGATGAAACATAAATCTAATCACTTCTAGATAGGAAGAATTTCAAAGTAATTGCTAGCTTAGAAATAACAATGTGAAATATTTCTTCTTTGGATAAGAGTTTTGTTATATCCCGATGAGAATAGTGAATGGTAACTTTAGGGATCTAGTTGTGGACCAATACTATGCGTATATTATTGTTAAGTAACTGAGCTATTCATATTCGTGTTCCTCAAATCATAAGCCTTATTTTGACTTATGAACTATTATTATACGATCTGCCATTCTTGAGTTATACCCAGTCTATCAATTACTATCTCTCACATTCACAGTCACATTTGACTAAATCTTGTACAGATGTTGTTTCCTATTTCATGATACGATGTAATCTGTTTGGTTTGTATATAAACTCAGTATGCTTGAAATAAGTGATTCATATTGCAGAGTCTGAGACTGGTGTTCTGGACTCAAGAGACAGGTATGGCTATTCAGGAAGCGGGATCGATAAGGACTGTAGACTGGTCGTATGGGCTTTATGTGTCATTGGTTCGGTCGATAAATCGCTGTTCTCTAATTGGCGATATCATTATGTAATATATTATTAAGGCATAATGCCACAAGTTATAACAAGTTTTAAGGGACCTACTCTATTTGAAATATGTTTACATTAAAGACAACTCCGCCTGTAAGTAAGTAAGTAAGTAAGTTACATTAAAGACGGATTTAAGCTAGAGAGCGTTTGAATATCAGAGGCTATTGGACAGTTGTTTTGACCTAGTTCGTGTTCTTTTTGTCGGTATGCACACATGATCAACACATGAATTGAACCCAGGAATTTTAGACCTGCTGGCTAATGCTTTACTTTTAAAATACTAAGCCAGTATCCGGTGTTCAAAATTTTCAACTTCAATCTATTTGTGATATTACACTGTCATTACATTGTAAACAGCTGAACTCTTGGAACTACCACTGACTACTTTCAAGGTAAGTTCTTAAAATTCTAATAAGAAGACATAATAAGTGAAATTCAATCATATTACTCTTGAAATGAACTGATCTTCATTCTATTTAACGAACTGACTGTAATTTGAAATACACCATGATGAATTATAAATCAACAGTCTAAAGGCAACTGGATAGTTCAATTTGTGAGCTTTCATGGTTCAGGTACCAAAAGAATCGTAGCCACTCACGTTTAAACAGTTTCAAATTATGGGGATTCAGTTGTTTAAAAGCATCTGATTCTACTTGGTTGTCTGGCTAAATTCAATCGGTTATGTAATATCTCTCTCTCCTTTTTATATATGTATATAGCTTCAAAAAGTACATTCTATTGTAGTACAATAATACAAAACTTACTTGATATCAGTTGAATCTATAGTAATATAGTCTTCATTCCAATATGATGTAAATGAAATGAAATATCGCATATCTCTAATTATAAAATCAAATGCTGATTGATATAAAACAATGACAAATGCTTTAAAAGTAATCTCTTTCTACGAAATGAAAGATAAATGAAACAGGATTATTGAAAACAATTGAGATAATGGTATAAAATACAGATAGTTTTATAGTTGAAATCAATTGAAGTTAGACCACCATGGAGAACCTGGAAACACTAGACGGTCGTTTCGTCCTAGTACGGACTCAGTACAGTTCGCATCCCTGATCCAGCCCCCCCAGCGAGATTCGAACCCAGGATCTACCAGTCTCGCGCGCGTGCGCTTAAACACTAGACCACTGATCCGGCATTAAACTCATGAAATTACTAAAATCTTAATAAAACCCATTCGAACAAATAGTTTAATTTGACATTTAAGCAATTCAACTATCTTATTAATTTCAAAACTGAAGTATTTGATTGAAATCATGAATCGATAGATGTTAGACCACTATTGAAAATCTGGAAGCACTGAACGACCCTTTCGTCCTTTTGTGAGACTTCTCAGCAGTGCGCATCCACAATCCCTCCCCGCGGGATTGGTTCAGAAACTGGAAGCCGATATTGTTGGGACATTCAGAAAAATATCCCAAAAATTATTCTGTTAAGTCTAACGCTGTCCTTGGACTTGAGACGGTATCATCTTCCTATTGGTCAATATTTATTTCACGTGTCATTTTCCTGTTGGCCAAATATTGTACAAATGTTATTTTCTATTTTATGGTACGATGTAGTCTGCTTGATTGGTATATAAACAGAGTATGTTTGAAATATAACGATTCATATCTCCGAGGCTGAGACTTGCATTCTGGACTCAACTGGCTGGGCTAGACAGGGAAGTGGGACCAATCAGGACTCTAGGTTGTTCTCACGTGTCTACGCATCTTTGGTCCGATCGATAATACGCTGCTTTCTAATCTGCAGTCCACAAGTTATAACAGATATGAAAAGGATGAATAATAACTGGAAAGGATTGCTTAGGAGAGGGTTGGATGGCGAGTACTGATAGGCGGCCTATATTCTACCACGAGAAGTAACAGGCGTAAAGAATAAAAAGAAGACTATAACATCCATTTATACTTACCTTTTTATGATGAATTTGAATAGATGCACATCTTGTTAAAATATTATAATTCTTAGAATAATTAAATGTTTTACACCATGTTCCTTCTTTAAACATACTTAATAGACAAGTATCATATGGATATGGTGAATTTAATTGATTTGAAATGAAAACAATCAAATGTGTTGTATCATTTTTTATAAAAATAGAAGATTGATGTTCCATAGAAAGATTAAAACAGATTGTGATGTTTTGTTGTGTAGCAGAAAGATCTTTATATTCAATGAAAACAACAAAAGAAAAAGGGAAAAAAAAGAAACGACAATATCATCCAAATAATAATAATTATTATGGTGTTAATGTATAACTCCAACTAATCCACGAAATTGAGCGACACATCCACCATTGTCTTCAGTGAGTTACTATCTCACAACAGATCTGGTTGAACTCTACTGGTCACTACTTCTCACTAGAACTCCAGGATAAACCTCCTGATGATAGTCACTAGTGAGTGATATGTTGATTAATATCAGATGTGTTTTGTGGATATTATAGTAATTTCAATGGTTAAGATCATGAGTCAAGTGAAGTTGAACCATCATGGAAAACCTGGAAGCACTGGTCTAGTGATCTAGTGGTTAAGTGCTCGCGCGCGAAACCAGTAGGTCCTGGGTTTGAATCTCTCAGGGGGCGAGGTCGTGAATGCGCACTGCCGAGGAGTCCCACAATGCTTCCAGGTTTTCCATGGTGGTCTAGCTCCAACTGACTCATGATCTTAACCATTGAAATTACTATAACATCCACAAAACTTATCTGATAATAATAATAATCTTACGAAAGAATGTTTTAGATTTTTCGATAGATATTCATTAAATCTATATTGCGAAAAGTGGTCAGGATAAGGGTAAATTACATCTTAATAGTTGAATTCATGAGTCAATGAAGTTGGACCATCATGGAAAAGTTGGAAGCACTAGATGGTTGTTTCGTCCTAGTATGCGATTCCTTAGCAGTGCAGATCTACTATCTCGCCTCACGAGATTCCAAACCCAGGACCTATTAGTCTCGTGTGCGAACGCTTAACCTGTAGATCATTGAGCCGCGAGAGGCGAGATCGTGGACGCACAATACTAAGGAGTCTCACAGCCGGACGAAACGGCCGTTCAGTGCTTCCAGGCTTTCCATGATGGTCTAGCTTCAAGTGACTCATGAATTCAACTATTAAAATTACTAAAATATCCACAAAACCCCTTCTGATGCAAAGTACATCGTTTAAAGCATATGAATTTATGATTATCAAACAAAGGAGAATAGAACTTTTACCGTAGAAAGTTATATTTAAATATATGATCGCGAATGTGAGAATAAGAGGAATAAAAACGGTGAATAGGAAATGCCTGTTCACGCGCCTACAATTCACAGGAGATGGGGCTCGTGAAATATCAACTTAGAAATTGCAGCGGACAGTACAAAAATCTTTAAACGCCGGAGAATTATGATTAATGTTTTCTACGTGCATGATATATTTTCGTGCTCTCAATCACTTCCCAGCGTGGCTAAACAAAGGTTTGGTGAAGAGAGTGAACAGCTCGATATTGACCCATTTAGTACAAACCGGTCATCGTGCCAGTATAAACCAATCCTTTTCAATTATTTATAAGGCCAGTGATTTTTTGCCAAAGCTTGTCAGACTTACAGTCCTTTAAATGACTGAAGCGGTAGCCATTCGGATGACGAAACCAAAGCTATGCGTACAAAATAAATATCTTCAACCACTCCTCCTCCTCTGGTCAACCTCAGGGCCAATTAATCAATAGTAATCTTAGCTATTGAATGACCTAATTTGACTATTGTATGTACGACCTTTCGTAGTCAAATGTAATTGTCTCTGTTATATATAAATTGTGCAACCTAAAGAGAGTTAGTGGAAAGGAATATTTTTCGTTCAAATATTAGTCTTTTAATATGACGAGGATCGTTAAACCATTAAATATATGAGACCATGCGTCGATTGAAGCTAGACCGCCATGGAAAACCTTGAAGTACTGCAAAACTATTTCGGCGTGCATGCGCGCTGCTGGGGAGTTTCATAACAGGACGGAACGGCCTTTCAGTGCTTCCAGGTTTCCCATGGTGGTCTAGCTTCAACTGACTCATGGTTTCAACGATTAAAATTACTATAATATCCACAAAATTTCTTCTGACACTAAATAAATCTTTGGTTTTTAATCTAATCAAAAAAGATCACATCTTTAAGTTGACTCTTTCAGATAGTCCTAATGAATAAGCTAACGCTGGACCAATGAAACGATTATTTGGGATTTATATATGTTTAATATCGTTTCGGTGAAACTTGTTAATTTTGTGTGTTAAACGTTTCATGACAAACTATTCGTAGTGTTCAATAGTATGTTAGAAGAGGAGGTTCATTATGAATACAGTGGTCTTGAGTACTGTTAGAAGTATGAGAGTGGTTATCACTTCCCGGTCGCCCACACCGTGGAACGGTTTCTTTGGAGGTACCTGAAAAGGAAATTGGATTAGAGGTGGTCTTAGTGACCTGAGAGCGTGACCGCAGTGCCCAAGGGACAACTGCTTGAGGTCGGTCACACACAAGCTTTTTATGGGTAATTTTTGTGTTAGCTCCGTACTTATTCAGACCTTACCGCCGGAGACGGATATCCGTGGGATAAGGTGAGGTGTGCATTTTTAGGGTCGACCTTTTCTAACCCCACCCCTCCTTGTGGGAAGGCAGCATCGCTGTCATGCTGGTTGTCTGAAGGAAACACCTTACTGCTGTCACACCTCTGTACAGTCAGCAGTACGACTTCACCTTCGGAGCTTGGGTTTGTTGCTTTTAGTCTTACCGCTCTTCAACCGACCTGTCTGACATGATAGGAGCTTGAGGAACGATTGTTGTAGCCAGTCTAGCTCTATTGGTTCATTACGATAGGCAAGCCCAAACACTACTCAAGGTAGCAACAACAGTCGGGTCAATAATATGTTGCTGTATTTTGGCTTGAATTTATTATAGCTTTCTGTATGTGAAATGTACCACATCTAATTTGTAATTACTTTTTACGTATAAGAACAAATTTTTTTATTTTTAGGCGAACGAAAATATCTATTTCATTCCCTTTTGTATATTGTACCATACTACTTGTCATAATTCAGTAGTTGCTGATAGTTACACTTTTTGTAGCATTCTTCATTATGATTCAAAATATTTCCCTAACTCGAATTATTTCTCTTTTCGCACAAGTATACTATTTTCACAATAATTCAAGCCATTTCTCATATTTACAGTAGAAATTCACCTCTTTTTTGCTGTTTATTAGACAATATGGATGTCACTCTTTGAATTTCTGTCGATTTTAAACAAATCACCTGTTTTTAAAGGTTCGAAGTCAAAATAATATTTTATTCGCTATTCGTCACATGACCGTGTATCATCCTTTGATTTATATTATGCTTCACGAAATTGTCCCTGTCCAGTTACCCGGATCTCTCATCCTCTGTTTGATTGCGTTTCTAATGACATAATTGATACCTCGATACGTTACAACTTTGATCGTACCGTTCGCTTCAGAGTGAACATCAACTCTGGGATGCAGGCACATCCAGCTGACGAGCCTCAAATAGGGCGAAACACGCGTCCTGGGTTTCGATGTCAACCACTATCCGTCTTTGTTTATGAAGCTTGTGATTTTAGGCAATCTCGAGGCAATCCGCACAGGATGTACATATTCCAATAACAGACTGATCAATTGAAGTCTTAAACTGCAATGGGAAGATACAAGTAAACAACGACCAAATGAACAGAGAGTAAAGTTTGAAATTGTCTGAGTTAACTACAACATTATACGGATGGGTTTGTGTTATATGTTTACTTTTCATTATGTTTTTTTGAATTGAGAGAAATTTTTAGCAATTAACTGACGAAATGATCTACAATGACATGCAGTATTTTCATGAATTAGCTTCAGTTACTTAATTTGACAAAAATCAGAAATGGCTAAGGATAGTCTATTATAAGTTTATTAACCAAAACTTTAGTATGATTTATGATCAAAATTGAAATTCTTTAGTTATTAGGTAAACTTACGAAATATATTGTCTTGGATGTTTTTACTGATTTCATAGATCTTGTGAATTTGATTTCGTAGGACAACTTCTGGACATACGCAATGTTTTTGACGAAGATGTTGCTTCATTGAGTAACATCTATCACAAACTGGAACTATGAAAGATAAGAGGAAAAAGCAGAAATGATCATTTAGTTGTTTAATATAGCACATTAGGTCGAAAAACAAACTTTTTAAATATTAGTAGTCAGTAATTGACTGAAATGAAGTAAAATATAAATGGGAGTTTCTGATTGAAGCATATCATATATTTTGCAGGGGAAAATCGTTGCTTTTGAACTTTAGAATATCTAATTAATTGGTTAGGCGCTCACGCGCGAAATTGATAGGTCCTTGGTTTGAATCTCTCGGGGAGCCGAATCGTGGATGCACACTACTGAGGAGTCCCACAATAGGACGAAACGGCCGTCCAGTATTTCCAGGTTTTCCATGGTGGTCTAGCTTCAATTGACTCATGAGTTCAACTATTGAAATTTCTAAAATAAATCTCCACAAAATCACATCTAATAATCGTTAGTAGTTGAATTCATGGCGGACGGTCGCGCAATTTCGTAGATTGGTTCAATTCAGAAATTAACACCATTGAATATCATCACACTAGATTACATGTTAGATATTCATGCACGAGACAGAAAGCCCTGAATTTTTGTGGGATCATAGATGCGAATTACTGAGGAGTCCCATACTAGGACGAAACGGCTGTCCAATGCTTTCAAGTTTTCCATAATGGTCTAGCTTAAATCGACTCATGATTTCAACTATTCTATTACTATAGTGTCCACAAAACCCCATTCGGATAATAATCTAATTATTTAAATTATAAAATAAGATTGTGTCCTGGGTTTACATAAATCAGTCATTCACTTTCATTATAAACCAGTAAAATTTTAGTACACCGAATTTCTAAGTTTTATATCAGTGATAAAGATTTATACTCTGAACATATCAGACAGCTATAAATTATTCACTTCATGGATACATAAACAATAGAATAACTTACTACATTCATAATAATCTAAATATTCTTGATAAATTGGTAAATATCCATCTTGACAAATACACTGTGGTGATAAATAGATATTATTGATCACTTTCCCATTTGAACAAAAAGCGTTTGATGATCGACATAACATATCGATCTGGTTACAGAACATACCAATGTCAACTGTAAAAGAAAAAAGAATAACAGTGAAAGTGAACGTTTTAGAGTTGGATATATTATTTCTTAAGATGTAAGAAAGATATAAACAGAAGAAACATTCTATGTAATTGAATTTATTCAAAACTGATTAAAATATTGAGAAGGAAGAATGTATTTATCAAAAATCAATGGATGAACTGTTACAAATACATTCTTTTTCCTTAATGTCTTACATAAACTTGGTGCCTAAATACTGTGAAACTATTCGATCAAACTACAATGCGAAGTCGTGCATGAAGGAAAGCTGACAGGTGCATTCCAAGTAAGAGCTGGAGTCAGACAAGGCTTACTCCTCTTTCTTCTCGTAGTTGGCTGGATCATGAAGACCTCGACATCTAAGGGAGAGCATGAGATACAATGAACAGCTCAAAATCAGTTAGGAGATTTGGACTTCGCAGATCACTTAGTGTTATGGATGCTGAGGAATAATGTGCCAATCATTATCATGTTAAGTCTAATGATGTCCTTGGACTTTAAATGGACATTCCCTATTGACCATTATTTATTTCACTCGTTAAATATTGTACAGATGTTGTTTTCTATTTTTATGGTACGATGTGGTCTGTTTGTTTGGTATATAAATAGAGTATGTCTGAAATATAATGATTCATAACTCAGAGGCTGTGACTTGCGTTCTGGACTCAACTGGCTGGGCTAGACAGGGAAGCGGGACCAATCGGGACTCTAATTCGTCCTTACGTGTTTTACGTGTCACTGTAATCGATCGATATAAACGCTGCTTATCAAAACCTGCAGTTACACGTTACAACACCTAGCTCTTCTATCCCATACACACGAACAAATGAAGATGAAGACAACTAGTGTAGCAGCAGCCACAACAGCAGTAGTCTACAACATACATAGAGGAAAAATCAAGATCCTCTGGAAGATGTGTAATCCTTCACGTATTTGGGCATCATCAGTGATGAACAAGGAAGATCTAATGCAGACGTAAATGTGAGGATTGGTCAAGCAAGAGCCGTATTCCTACAACTTCTTAGAGAGATAATCCCCGAGCCTTTGAACTAAAGGTCTGATCCACAAGGCAGTGGAGCAACGTCAACAGATGCAGTCTCATGGTAGCCAGTGACCAACAATAGTTTCATACACCATTTTTTATCTCAGGATCCTGGAGTCCAGGTGCACTATTGCTTTGGAATTGGGGTTTACTTACTCCCCTATGTAGATCCTTCATATCCATCATACAGTTAAAGCACCGGACATTCGTTTTTCTCTCAATTTCGTAAACAACGCCCCTGCCACCAGAAAGCAGTGTGTAGGACGGTTTTGGCAGTGATTGTTTGCACGTGGCTATGTGCGAACATTTCGAGAGGGAGAGCTGACTCTCCCCACTCTTGGTCGTACCAGGACACTTTGGAGGTTTCCTTAATGAATAACCTGACATCCATATTCAAGTTATTTATTGCTCACTCAGTATTCAAGTAAATAAATCTAGTTCAAATTAGTCAGTCAATAAGAAACAACATTGGACCTAGTATATAATTACTTAGTTGCATCGTACATCACGATAATAGAATGAATCCCAATTAGATATTCTGAAACTTATGAGAATGTTCAGTTTAATTTGGTCACATAGCTATTACTTATATTAAATCACTTTAAGTGTTGTATGAAGATTTCAGCAATAAATAAACACCATATCTGTTAAGAAGACCCAGAAATGTCTTTGAATATAGCCTTAAGAGGGCCTTGAAAACAATGGGAAACATCTTATAGAATCAGCATTCAATAGGATTTTTTCAGAAACATTTAAAAAGTGAAAAGTCACGTGTCACATTTCTGATTGAATAGTTGCTTAACCTGCTTCTATGTTTAGAAGGGTTCCAGAACTTTCCATAGGCCCAAGTCTATCTGAAGTGTTATAGATTTCCTAGATTTCCTGTACATAAACTAACCTTTGAATAAAGAGTTCTTTCTATATTTCTCGTCTTTTCTCTCATGTTTAAGTTGCCGTGTATATTTACCCTAAGGGTTACTAAAAGAGCTTAGGAAATCGAATCAAGCGTTCAATTAGAAGATTTATCAATGTCATAGAAAAAGGAACATGAATTTTATAACCCATTTTTCCGATTTATGGCAGGCAAAACCCGATTCACACATCCTCATCGTGCCTCTTGGATAGTGGAACTCAGTCCCATGAACTGACGTGAACGGTAACCCGGGTGGTAGAGATCGGGCTAATCACTCAATCGACCGATACCCACAAAGAATCACAGCACAATTATTTCTGGATCGAAAAAATGACAAAAAACTAACAAAATTGGTACATAGAATGTATAGAGTTTCTCCCTATGGGGCAAACTCCAACCGATTGCAACAACAGCTATTCAAGCATCCGTAGTTGTACCGTGCTTCGATATGGCCTGTATCTCTCCAGAAGGACCTATTAGACTTCACCTACTTGTTTGGCTGGAAGAAGGGGGGGGGTAGAAGCATTTTTCTGATTTGTAACTAAAATTGTTGATAATAACTAGTTCTTCATTATATTTTAATTATTATTATTAACAGTTTTTTTCTCATTCAACATGTAAAATTAAGGAAAAGAGTAGATGTAATGGATAAAGGTCATGAATTGAAAAAAAAATTGGTTACCATGGTGATCTAGGATTAGTAACTTTGATGAATTTTAATGAATAAATGACGAGTTTCAAACAAAAACAATCAGTTACTAAGCAATATTTTATATCCAATTTTTAGTCGTTAAAGATTTTAGATATGTAAATTCAACTATCAGTCTTTACTCTTAACCTTTATATGTTTATTTAGAATTCTCATATATATTGCTCAGATGGAATTGAGATTCTTTTAAAAATGGAACATTATTTTTTCCATCAATCAGCGTTGATAATAATAATAATAATAATAATAATAATAATAATAATAATAATAGTAATAATAATAATAGTAATAAAAGTAAGGTTCGTTGAATCCGTTGGTCGGACACTATTAGCAACAACCTACTATGGGAAAAAACAAACCAGATTCCAGTGGAGGAAGAAATCAGGAAGAAGTGCTGGAAGTGGATAGAATACAGATTGAGGAAAGCACCCAACTGAGTCACAAGATAAGCCCTCACATGGAATCCTCAAGGTCAAAGGAGAAGAGAAGACCAAAGAACACATTACGTCGGGAAATGGAGATAGACATGAGAAAAATGAACAAGAATTAAATGGAACTAGAAAAGAAGGCCCAGGACAGAGTGGGTTGGAGAATGCTGGTCGGCAGCCTATGCTCCATTGGGAGTAACAGGCATAAGTAAGTAAGTAAGTAAGTATGGTTCGTTGAAACTATTTTCGATTCAAATAATGATAGTTTGTTCATTAACCGGTTTTGATGATCAATCAAAAATGAATACTTGTTTATACATACAGTAGGTTAACTGATTTGGATTGCATTCAATTGTATTACGTAATCTACTGTCAGAATAATTCACTTGGTATTGTTTTACTTGAATCTTCCCATTGATGTTTTAGGAGTGAAATTGATCAGTCTCATATTGGCATATGTGCATACTGTGCGTATGCCTCAATATTGCCTTAATTTACAAGCATTATAAGCAAAGATGGATAGTGGCTAACAGTGGAATCCAGGACGCGCGTTTCGTCCTGTTTGCGACTCCAGCTGACGAGTCCCAAACAGGACGAAACGCGCGTCCTGCATTCCACTGCTAGCCACTATACATCTTTGCTTATAATACTTTCAGAATAATTGTAAAGTAGCGTAAATGTACAGAACCAATAAATTAGTTAAACAAAAAGGTTTCATAGGAATGTTTGTCGTTGAAAAACGTATCTAAGAATTATGGAAACTATATGAACGCTCTCTACTTTTGTATTGTTGGCGAGTTAAAGCTAAGAGTGAACTGTTTTCAGGACTATCAAACTTAACTGATGTTCATCATCATTCACTTATTATTTAATTTCTTGAAGATGTTCTCCTAGAAGTAGAGCTTTTTACGCTTAATTTTTAAGGAGTTGATCTCTTACCATGAGTTTTACTCAACGACCTAGGATGAACAGATGATATAGTCCATTTTTGTGAAGATGACTGCATGCGGAGTCTTATGATCGCCTTGAAAAACAATATTGGCATGCTTACGATGCATTTCTCTTACTCTAAATGGAAACTTTTGTGATAGGAATGGTTAGTGTCTACGAACTAGCGATGTGAGTTAAGTAATTATCTTGAAAGCCTTACTAACCCTGAGAGATTGATATCGGACAAAACCACAGCACTGATTTAGAAAGCCCGGTTGGTATTTGCTAACTTGTGTTACTTGTGGCGTAGGTAAAATGTTTGTCTGACAACCAAAGGGTGCGTTTTCCCCTCACTAGTTAGTTGTTCATCGTTGTATGATTGTGAAATATGAACTTTAAAAGTAGGAGTAGGACTATTCATCAGTCCACTCTCACGAACTTGCATTCAAGAACTGAACCTAAAACCATCGCTCACGTGCGTAAATTCTTGGTTTTTAGCCCATTGAGCTGGAATCCAATGGTGTTGATATTTAACTTCAATAGATTTACGACATCACCAAGTCGTCATCTGAAATGGTTGAACACCACTAGCTATGAATACTCACTAATGGGGAGTTTCATAATAGAAAGAAATGATTATTTAATGGTTTAATGTTTTCTAATTTAGATAATTTCGTTAACTAAAGTCTACAAAAATTCTGTAATTTTTACAACTCCCCCAAACCGATAGATTATCTTCAGTTGAATTGTCTTCTGAAATATTTACCTGAATGGCTTAAATTACATCTAAACAAATTGTTGAAATGTATAGTGACGTGGTTTAATTTATTTAATCTGGTTGACGTTTTTTTAGCAAGATTTATTCTACGGGATTGGGTTGCCGACCTCATACCCATCTCTGCTCCCTTACCCGGGCTTGGGACCAGCAGTAACTCTAGAAGAGCTACAGGTAGATCAAATTGTGAC